AGAGAAAAAAAACAGAAAACAAATATTTAACAGCAAATTACACAGAACCCTCAGCAACTAAATATAATATTAATTTCCTAAGAATTTAGTGTGTCCACTCTTTCCCCTTATTAAAGCTTCCGTGTTTTCCAGGAGACTTCCGCATTTCACAGTTGTTTTTTTCCCTCTAAATCTTTTAATTGTCTTTTTAACTCTGGGTTTGAAAATTCCTCTTTCCACTGATCTTCCCTTCCTCTTGCACGTGGATTATCTCATATCTGATCTCCTCAGAAAAATGTCCTAAAAATGATTCATTTGTACTTAAAAGCCATTTTAACTAGAAATTTAAGTGAAGGGCGGACTCTGACTTTTGCACAATATCACACTTAATAGAAGATGGTTCTTCAAGGGTTCTTCAGTAAAGAAAATGCTTTTGTATAGAACCATTAACACTTAAAAAACCCTTTATGATCAAAGGGTTCTTTGCATTGTGAAAGGGTTCTTCAGATTAATGGAGAGTGTGCTGAAGGTGGATCTATATAAAACATTTTGAAAAGGGTTCTATACAGCACTAAAAAGGGTTCTACTATTGGTACAAGCTTGACATCGTACACTCTCAAAAAAGATGATTTTTTTAAGGGTTATTTAGTAAAGAAAATGGTTTAATACAGAACCATGAACACTCAAAGAACGCTTTGCATGAAAGGTTCTTCAAAATAATGGAGAATGTGCTGTAGATGGTTCTATAAAGAACCTTTTCAAAAAGGGTTCTTCTATAGTCACAAGGTCAACCTTTTTGTGCTATATCGAACCCTTTTCAAAAAGGTTCTGTATAGAACCATTTGCAGCACATTCTCCATTAATCTGAAGAACAATTTCACCATGCAAAGAACCTTTTAATCATGCAGAAGGTTCTTTGAGTATTCATGGTTCTATATAGAGTCATTTTCTTTACTAAAGAACCCTCGAAGAACCATCAGTGTACTGTACAAAATGAATAACACAGCTTACACCTCTACATCTCGTGACTGTGCTCTGATGTTTCAAGAAACAGTAGCCACGTTTACACGTAGCCTAATAATCCATTAACAATCCGACTAATAGCTCAATTGGAATAGAATACGTCCATGTAAACACCTCAATCAGAATAACCTAGTCCGATTGAGGCCATTCGGAATACAATTTCTATCAGACTGAACGAGATGGGTAATCCTGTAAATAATCCCTTAAATAGAAAAATAATATCCGTGTAAACGCCTGTATCTGATTACATTCCCTATCAGAAACTTTAAGTCCGTTCTGATCATGTTCGTCGCGTCATAGTGAAAGTTTTACCGTTCAACATGGCGGAGCAGAAACTGGTCTGCAGAGGAGACGAAGTTTATGCTCTGATCTTTAAAAGACGGCGGTGGGACGGACGTCCAGCTTATGTGTCTCAGAACACGACGTCTTCCTCTCGGCCTTCTTTAATAAGGACATGTGAAGGACGTTTTCCTGAGTCTGACATCATTTTAAAGCAATTAAAAACACAAGCACTGCTCACTGCTGCTCATCTCACTCTGACTGGACTCACGTGATGCTCGTTGTCATGGTAACGTCTACACTAAGTGGTTCTCTACGCATGTGTGTCATTTTGGCTCTGATTACTTGTAGTGAGCATGTAAACAGAGATTTTCTATCAGAGTGTTGAGTAGAGTGAGAATAAACACCTCAGTCTTAATCTGTAATCAGAATGTATTCAACTGGATTGGCAAAGATCTTTGCATGTAAACAGCCACTGTGATACATTACAGTCTGATGTGCACTGTGGTGATGAGCATGTTGTAAGCTGGTGGCCAGAAAATGGGCCCCCCCCTGCTGGACAAATGAAACATGCTGATATCAGGATATTTAGGTTAAGTGACATAGTCAGTAAATATCCACAAATAGAGGCTGAAAAAATGGTGAAAGTGTTTCATTATTCATCTAAGCAATTAGTCACCTCTGGATATGCGTCGGGAGAAATGTCATTAATCAGGCTCTTATAGAGAGATCATCAATTATTGAGTGACGAGCAATTAGAGACTCTTTTAATTGGACGATCTAAAAGAGTGAAGTATATTTAGCATCTGTGATTCTGAAAAGGATGTATTTTTATTCTGGAGGAGTATCATAGAGATAGAGATACATATCGCTGCTGTTGGAAGAAAACCTCATATCTCCAAAATGGTAACTTTACAGGAGAAGGAAAAAACCTACTTTACTTTTAATGTAAGTCAATGGAACCAGACTTTTATCCAAGTCATTTTGGGTCGTTTCTTTTGGTCCATTCATCATGAAATTAACAGATAATGTAAAGGACAACAGGCATTTTCAAATTTTGTTGAAAACCGGAAAATGACAAAAATGGAGATATGAGGTTTTCTTCTGACAGCAGCGATATACAGCAACCACAAAACTATTAAACTATTCAGACAGTTCTGTTATACTTAACATGTATTATGAAATGCCTTTGTACACTTCTGAGTTCATGATCCCATTCATGAACACCAGCTCAGTGACATGACAAAGAAAAACAGCCGCAGACTCTGACATTTCCACCTTTACAGCAGCCTTAGTGCAGCCTGGTTGGAGTTCTTCACACAGAGTCCACCATCGGATTGATGAAGGGCTAAAAGCGGAATGAATATCATTTTGTTAAACATTTCACTAAATAACTTTAAAAAATAATATTATTATTATTATTATTATTATTATTATTATCATTAAGTGCTGTCGTTTCCAAAAGGGGAACCCATCCTCCTCTGGACGACACCGGATAGCAAACAGCATTAGTATAAAGTATTATAGTACAAAAACAGGGAAAACAGGTGAAGCAATGGTTAATTAGATAGTTTGAGTTTATGCAGCAGCAGCATCATCGGGAGGGTCATGATGGTGAGGTTTGCACAGAGATGTACAGCATGAAGCTCAATGGTGGTCAAGCCGGTCCAGAAGGCTGGCGAGCAGTGGCACCCAATCAAGGCAGAAGAAGCAACAGCATCAGATGCGCAGGATGGGCAGCTGTTCAACTCGGCAAAGAAGGGAAACACACAGAGAGTCAGTTCTGTAATGAGTGACTGATCACAGATTAGAGCATTAACAGAGCAGCAGAGACTCTGGCAGGTCTAGTTATTACAGCCTAACTAAAAGGGAGAAACCAGAAAGGTAACAGAGACATAAGGCTCTCTGAGATGTCAGCACCCCTCCACTCCACCGTCAGCAAACTTGAGTGAGCGTGTGAGAGCAGCGGGAAAAGTGTTTTTTGTTAAACACTTCATGAAGTAAAAGAACTTTTATAATAATAAAAACAACAACAACAACAACAATCATAATAATAATTATAATAATAATAGGGCCTCATGGTAGCACTGCTGCCTCACAGCAAGAAGGGCCTGTGTTTGATTCCCTGGCTGGGCAACCGGGGACCTTTCTGTGTGGGGTTTGCGTATCTGTGTGGGTTTCTTTCCTCAGTCCAAAGACATGCTGTCAGGTAAATTGGAGCTCGTCCAGGGTGTTCCTGCCTTTCGCCCAATGACTGCTGAGATACGCTTAGGAGGAAAAGCGGCAAAGAAGATGAATTTATAATAATAAGTGTTTATTAATAATAATAATAATAATAATGACATAACTTCCATCTTTTTTATTTCACCTGTTATTATTTGTCCATTGACATCCCTTATAGTAACCGACTCATGGCTGAAATTAAAACTTACCATTAAATTTAACCCTCTATTGCATGATGTTGCCTCAAGGCAACAAACATTTTCTTCACTTTACAATAACACTATACATATTTTGGGACTTGACAGGGTTAAGAATAAATGGCAGAGTTTGAGTAAGTCAGTAAACAAGCATGTATTTGGTCATACTATCTCATAGCGGGCACTTTTAAACCTCTTTTTAACATTCAGTATCATTTTTTTATTCATGCAAATTTGTAGAAATATTGTTTGTTGCCTAGAAGCAACACTGTGCGACAGTGGAATGGATTTAGCCAGTCACAAGCCAGGTCTCGCCACTTCAGGGTACACGGCTCTATATCATTTCATCCCATTGTCACACAATGTACACCAAAAGGACTCCTGCACACATTATTATTTAAAAAATGTTTTTGAATTCAATAATCAGGTCAATTTTATGCAAGAAATATATAGATATTTTTCAATTGCTCTCATAATGCGTGCAGTAGAGGGTTAATAAAAGGTTAAAGTGTCCAAATATTTTTGGTGGCCACTATATATCCTACATTGACAGTAAAACATCTGCTGATTGTATTTTCACGAATGTGGTCTGGGGTTGATCTGCTGCTCTGCTTGTTAGAGATGTTTACAGTCCTGCGGAGGAGAAAGAAAGGAGGTTTAAAGGGCTTCATACGTCACTACGTACAGTGCGTGCCCCACGTGCAGATGTTTACGTGTTACGTCGGCAGATGAAAACGGGGGGTTTATGTTTTTTAAGGGGGGAACAGGCCGATTATCTGACAACATGCGGCGTAACGGCGTATCAGAGCGCTACGGAGCTTTACTGGCCTTTATAAGACCGAAACCGCGCGCTCAGCGATTTGTTTTGAAGGATTTTTAGCTGCCAGGCTGAAGTTGGCTTTACGGAGTCGCGAAGGAATCGGTTCTTTTGAACAAGTTCGTTTCAGTGAATCCGTCCAACCGACTCACACGTTTTTTTTATTCAGTTTAACTCAAAATTATTTGCAGTTTTACGTCGATTACTGGATTTAGGATACAAGTAGTCTGAAAAAAAGATTAATCAGGGTAAATAAAGTTCACATTCTTAGCACTGCGAATCAATAGCATCGCATATGAAGACACTTTTTTTTTAAACTTCCTTTTATTATAGATGCAATTATTCATAACAATTACAACTACACACATCGCTACTACACTAAAAGGACAAATAAACAGCAGCAAAATAATCAAAAATAACACAAAGCGGAATACAATAAAATGAGTAAACAAACAATAATAAAAAATAATTTTAAAAAACGTGTCAATGTCAATAATTCAGACATTGAGGAATTCAAACGCTGCAGAAATGATTGAGGAAAGCACTGCTCTTCTCATCATTCATCATATTTAAGGATCCATTTCAAAACCATTTTCGGAATCAGATCCGCTCGTCATCCTATATAAGAGGATGAGAATAACGCTGACGTTGTGGATCAATGAATCGGTTCAAACGAGCTTTCCATTAGTTGAAACGAACGGCTCTAAGGAATCGGTTCGGTTAACTGAATCGAACTTTCCGGGGCTAAAAAGTGAAGGGAGGGGAGCGGGCTCTGCTGCTACGTCACGGCCAGCCGCGCGCTTGTAAACAAAATCCTCCCACGTGACGGGCGAGCAGCGCGAGTCCGCATTGTCCGTTAGAGCAGAGCAGCACAAAAGAGGCCCGAGCAGAAAAATAAATAAATAAAGCAAGAATACAGATTTAGAAACAACCGACAGCTACAAACAACCGGCGAGCAGGAAAGCCGTTAGCTGTCGGTATCACCAGGGCGAAGACGGCGCGAGGGAAGGAAGGATGAACGAGAAAGGAGAGTTTTGTAGTTCGGGAGGCGGCGAGGAGTCAGAGAGAGGTGTTTATCTCATCCGTCGGCTCCGTTCAGTTTAACCGAGCAGACCTTCGACCCAAAACACGGTCCGTTTTTAGCCTCCGAGGCTCGAGCGGAGGCGGAGGAGACGAGCCGAGCCGAGCCGAGTCGCGTTGTTTTGTTTCGGTTAGTTGGTTAGTTTTGTCGGCCGGGACAGAAGGAGCTGCTACAAAATATCGGTTAGCATTAGCTTTGAAGAGGAGAGGCAGCCGCACACGGAGAGCCGCGCGCATCCGTGACATGTCATTCGCGATGGAGGATTCTCTGGAGTCCGGTTGGGTTTCGGTTCGGCCGAACGTGTTCGACGAGAAAGAGAAGCACAAGTTCGTCTTCATCGTGGCCTGGAACGACGTGGAGGGCAAGTTCGCCATAACGTGCCACGACCGGACGGTGCAGAAGCGCACCGCCCTGCGGGACTCGCTCGCTGATGCTGCCGAGGAAGGCGAGTCGGCTCCGGCGGCCGCGGACGATGCAAGCCGGCGAAGCCCGCTCAAGGAGAGGAGGCCTGTGAAAAGCCCGGTGAAGGAGAAGGCTGAGGCGGCGAAAGCGGACAAGAGCAGGCCCGCGCGGAGTCCCAGTAAAGCAGCTGGGGTCGGGACTGGGACTGGAGACGCCGTCTCCGGGGACGTGGAGGTGGTGGAGCCGGTCAGCGGCGGTGGTTCTCCTCCGGTGGCGGCGGCGGACGACGCGGAGGACTCGGACGCGGGCCTGCGGGAGGACTTCAGCTGGGCCGGCCTGTTCTCCTTCCAGGACGTGCGGGCCGCTCACCTGCAGCTGTGCGCCGTCAACTCGGACCTGGAGCCCTGCCTGCCCGCCTTCCCCGAGGAGCCCTCGGCCGTGTGGTCCGTGCTCTTCGGCCACCCGCAGCTCACACAGAGGGAGATGGAGGCTCTTTGCTACCAGCTGCAGGTCTACCTGGGCCACGCGCTGGACACGTGCGGCTGGAAGATCCTCTCGCAGGTGTTGTTCGCCGACGGCGACGACTCGGAGGAGTACTATGAGAGTCTGAGCGAGCTGAGGCAGAAAGGCTATGAGGACGCGCTGCAGAGAGCCAAGAAGAGATTGCAGGAGGTGAGAAGGTTCACAAGTTACCCCTTTATTTTATGGGTGTTATGGAAAGAATGACCAGCTGTAGTCTTGTAGTCCACCAGCACTCGACCAGCTCGTGTTTTACCTTCATAACAGATCCAGAAAGGCTAGATTCCAGGGGAAGAAACCCAACTCTGGAGGTCCACCTACACTTTTCCTGCTCAAAAAAGACCCATTAATTATCTAATGATATGATTCCAGGGCTACACTCTTAAACAGATGGCTCTTCAAGGGTTCTTTAGCAAAAGGAATGGTTCTGTGTAGAACCATGAGTCCTATACAGAACCATTTCCTGCTTAAACGCTTCTTTAGATTGATGGAGAACGTGTTATACATGGTTTTATATAGAACTGTTTTGAAAATGGTTCTATATAGCACCGAAAAGGGCTCTTCTGTTGTTACAAGCATGACATTATAACAATAGTAGAACTCTTTTTGGTTTTATATGGGATCAGTTTTAAAAAGACTCTCTATAGAACATGTTCTCCATCAATCTGGAGAACCACTTAAGCATGAAATGGTTCTATATAGCGTGAAAAAGGGCTCTTCTATTGTTAGAAGCTTGACATGATAACAATAATAGAACCCCCTTTGGTGCTATATGGGACCAGTTTCAAAAAGACTCTATAGAACACGTTCTCCATCAATCTGAAGAACCACTTAAGCATGAAATGGTTCTACGTAGTACTCATAGTTCTGTGTGGAACCATGAATCCTGTATAGAACCATTTGATGCTTAAACTGTTCTTCGGTTTGATGGAGAATGTGTTCTTTGTTATACGTGGTTATATATATGTGTTATATATGGTTCTATATGGAACTTTTTTGGAAGTGGTTCTATATGGCACTAAAAAGGACTTTGTTATTGTTGACATCATAACAATAGAATAATGCTTTTTGATGCTATGTGGGACCATTTTCATGTGGGTTCTACATGTAACACATTCTCCATCAATCTGAAGAACCATTAAAGCATGAAATGGTTCTGTATAGAACTACACAGAACCAATCCCCTTACTAAAGAACACTTGAAGAACTTTTTAAGAGTGTGGAGTTGGGAAACAGTGCCTCAAACTATACGTTTAGCTCTTGGAAGTGAGTCTAATCCACTGTCAGGTTCTTTAACCACAAACTGCTTCTTTATCTCATGGAACGGCAGCCCAGCCCCAGTATTTGGGGTCCACCTGCACTTTTCCTGCTCTAACACCTTATTCAACCCAGGAAGGACTAGATAACTGGCTGGTGTGACTTTATGACTGGAGCTGGGAAACACTGCACTAGGTTTATTGAGTGTGATTAATGTGCCAGGAAAACTCAGAACAGCACCATAAACTGTCTTTTCATTTCCTGGAAATAAACCTAATGCACTGTTTTTCTGTCTTGGAGACACACCTGCACTTTGCCTGCTCTAACACACCTGGTTAAGCTCACAAAGAACTTTTGTGCGCATCATTAGATGGCTAAAACACAAAGATGTGGAGTGAAGGTGTTTCCCGGCTCCAGTTCTGCAGGCCCACCTGCCCGTACCCTGCCTTAACACGTGTTTCGGCTCACAGATGACTTGGATATGAGCTGATGATGCATCTCAGATGCTGAAAAAGTATAAAACCTTGCTGTGCAGGTGGACTGCAGGACTGGAGCTGTGAAACCAAGCGGAATCCGAGGTACATATGCTTTAGCCAAGTGCTGGTGCCAATTTGTTGTCCCTCTTGTGTTTAAAAATGCTTGTCATTGTTGGCAGTCCTGTCAGAGCATCTCTACGGATTGCGTTCCAAAACAGAGCTCAAGCATCTGCTATTAATACTTCATTGATTGATTTGCAAACCAAGAACTGCAGTGTCATGTTTGTGTCTTGGAAGATTGTCATATTGAAACTGCCTTCTGGTGCGTTAAGTCAGAAACTTGTATCCTCATGCTCATGCCAAACGCAGTGAAAACAGAGGGCATGTTTAATTGCACAGCGAACAAAGGCTTAATTTATAGCACACGGACTGCTGATGTGAAAAGTAGACACGCAGGACTCTTTCTGAGTGTCCACTAGAGCCGCACGCAGCTCTGAATATCGTTTTGTTCCCGAAAGCCCCTGAGCTGCCATCTGTTGACCTTTATCCCACTGAAATGTGATCTGCCCTGCTGTTGTCAGCGTTCGGCACTTGAGCGCATTGTAAAGTACGTGGGTATGATCAGCTGGTGCTACCGTTAGGCTAGAGTGAGCGTGGTCAGTGATGGAGACGATCTGCTCTGAGGACGGTTGGGTCGAAAGGCCTGTAAAGGAATCAAGCTATAATTAGCAAAGCCAAAGTTTGGCTTCCTGGTGAGGAATTTCTTTGCTGATTCATGTCGTGGAGCGATAATTCCAGATACTAAATAAACACACAGTGAGTTTGCGTTGGTTTTGGAAATTTGGTGAAAGAACGTATAACATTTTTTAACCTGTTTAACTCCGTGGAATCAACGGTGGTTGCAAAACGCACTTCGTCATATTCTTCACTTCTTAACTGTCATATTTCATGAGCTACATTCAAAAGGTGGGTGTCTCTTCAGGGATATGCACTGTAAAAAAAATATTTTTATTAAAAAAATACAAAGCGTCTAAGATTTTTGGCTTTCAGCAGTAAATTGTAAGCATATGGCATTATGTTTATGATCATAAAGCACATTTTCTGTTAATTTTGTGGGGAGCCACAAAAAAAAACACCAACACTTTACATTTATTTCATGCAGTTACTGAAAAATTTGTCTTAGGATTTGGGCATGTAAATTTAGATGGAAAAACCAAAATATACCCTTATTACAGTCAATCAGTCTGTCAGTCATTTGTTTATTTATACAGGTGGAAGGGTTAACCCTCTGAGACCAAGGTCTTATTTACAGTGGAGGCATGGAAAAACAAAGTGAAATGCAAAATAAAATAACATTTTAATTAGTGTACAAACAAGGAATCAAGCAATGATTAACAAAGCCAGAGTATAACTTCCTGGTGAGGAATTTCTTTGCTGATTCATGTTGTGGAATAATAAAGTGAGAAGTTTAGTTAAAGAGCATATTATTAAGACAAAAGTAGGGTTGTTATAGTCAATCAATCAATCATTTGTTTAACATTTGATAACCCTCTGAGACCAAGGTCTCATTTACAGTGGGGGGACATGAGAAACACAGTTAAAAGCAAAATAAAATAATATTTTAATTAATGTACATACATGTTTAAAACAAAACAAACTGGTTGTTTGTACAAAAATGCATTCGTGCAATGTTTAACAGCAGGTTTCATTAGTAAAAAACTAGTCAAAACTTTAGAAGTGGAACTCATCGTTCAAGGGTAGACTGGCTTGATGTAAAGGTGAAAGTCTTAAAACATGAACCTAAAATGACGAACACAGAGTGCACTTCTTAGGGCTTGAGCTGCACCCCATGTAGTGCACTATGTCAAATGAGAGACAGCCCAGCAGTCTGATTCCCCCCTCATATGTCTGGTCTCATTACACTGACTGATGCATCTCCAGCCTCAGTTTCCTTTGTGTGCAGTGGGAAACAGAAGTGGAGGATGTCTGCCACAAACCGCCGAGTTTCAGCTCGGTTTTGGCCTGTGTTTTATCATTTCCTCCGCATAGTTCGTACATCCTTTTCTCTCTTTCTCTCTCCGTCTCTTTCTCTCTTTCTTGCTCCCTGTATCTTTCAGTGCTGTTGTCATGTTTTTAGTGTGAGTCATTAGCCAGGGGCCGGCTCATTAGAACTTTACTTGACCCATGCGGTTCTGACCCCTCCGGCCACAGGGTGGAAACACACATTCACACAGTGGTTTAGTCATGATTCGGCTCCTTTAGGCTCTTAAGGAGGTTGACTTTGTTAAAACCGGCAATAAAATCATAAAAATCAGATTTTCTCATGACAGTCTTAAGTAGGTTACCTTCTCGTTTTCTTGGAAGTCTGGACAGTAAACAGTCCCAGCTTCTGAAGTCTTTTCAGTCCTGATTTCTTTTATACACTTAGCATTAGGTCATAATTCAATATAACACATTTTACGACACAACAAACATGTGAACTGCCTTAAGTTAATGTTTTGGTTTTCTGAGCATTTTGAGCAGTCAACATTATAATGAATGTGAATATATTAGCCTAGAGCTGAATATACGCTTATGAGCAGTGTGCTTTTCCTCCCTGCTGTCAATTTTGAGGTACAGAGGAAGCAGTATTTTCAGAATAGAGACAGGCTTATTACACTGTCTGCATTATTATCAGTACTAAACTGAAATACTTTATTTGCTCCAGCTTCCAGTGTCTACCAAGTTGAGAGGATTGATCTGATTGATCTCTTTTTTAACCTCTTATCGACCAGGTTATATTTCGGTTTTTCCATCTGAATTTACATGACCAAATCGTAAGGCAAATTATTCAGTAATTGCATGAAATAAATGTAAATTTTTATTTAATTGATTAATTTATTTTTTTGTAAAAGTTCACCTCAAATTAACAGAAAATGTGTTTTATGATCACACATGTTGCTATATGCTTACAGTTTACTGCTGAAAGCCAAAAACCTTAGACGCTTTTTGAATTTTTTTATAAAAATAATTTTTACAGAGCAGATCACTGAAGAGACGCCGTCTGTTTATAGTTTAAAGCCCAGATTTGTGGAAAAATGGGACGACTTTCAGTAGACAAAAAATAGTGAGTTCAGCTTCTTTTATTATAAGGGTTTAAAATTACATCACCCATCTATTTGGCTGGAAAGAAGACAGTTACAGCTCTCATACGACCCCCACCTTTTGAAAGTAGCTTATGAAATATGAAAGTTATGAAGAATATGACGAAGTGCGTTTTGGAACCACCGGTGGTCTCAAGGAGTTGAAGAGGTTAAAGAAGAAAAAAGGACTATGATTTGTTTTTCATGAGCTACTTGTAGCTATAGCCACGATGATGATCTATATGCAACCTTAATTATTAATGAGCTTTACTTTACTCAATGCAAAAGCTTTAACTAC